TCCACTGTGCCATGTGTCCTCAAGGTAACTGATAACTGACATCCATCAAACATGGCACGTGGAACATTCCAGCCACTTGAAGAAGACCGGAGCGTACAACGGCCGAAACGTTGTGATAAATATGGTGACGAAGATGAGGACAATAGTCCGAATAATGTAAATAATGTACATAATACATCATCTCAGAAATATAGACATCATCTCAATAAATATGGCGACAAAGATGATAGTCCGAATAATGGGCCGAAACGTTAGACAATAAATAAACGTTGCGACAAAAGATGAGGACAATAGTCCGAATAATGTAAATAATGTACATAATACATCATCTCAGAAATATAGACAGATACTGAAGGGTCGAAACGTTGTAATAAATATGGTGACAAAGATGAGGACAATAGTCCGAATAATCTAAATAATGTACATAATACCTCATCTCAGAAATAGTTCAACATTCAGAGACACATTATTAAGGAAGATAACTTGAAGAATTTAACACCCACAGTACATATTGAAAACAAAGGGGACAAAAGGAGCTTTTGTAAATCGATAGCAAACCAGAGAATGGTACTGAAAGATAACAAGCGTTGCTTAGTGCTAAAAGAAATAGGACGTTATGAAGAGCCATGATCGACTACGTTCTAAAGATGGCATTCTTTTGGTTTCAATTATTACGTTCGTTTCTATCGCTGTGTTTTCTTTAGCATTCCTGGTATTGTTCGATGTTCTTGAGTGGGAATATATTGTAAATCTACTTGTTCCTTAGCACGAACGTTATCCCCTGCCAATGCCTCACAGAAAGAATGGTCCATTTTGTTTGGCTGCAAGGCTAGACCTGTAATATCTATCCTGTTCATTGTGCACAGGACGCAAGGTAAATGGCGTTGTTTGATTTCAGTGAAAGGAGCGGAAAAGAAATAAATAAAAAAGAAGTATAGAAGAAGCGATAATGCTCTCATGTGTTTAATGTCTGCTTCAGTGAAATGGAAAAACCCATGACCATTTTGAATTTTTTCATTTATTCCCTCTTACTTCTTTAATTAATGACTTGCGTCCATATTCATGGTTGTGATTGTAATAGTTTCTTAAGCGCAAATATTTAACGAGGCAATATCTACGGATATTTTATAGACGAGTAACACGCAAGGAGCTTATCCAATCATAAATTTAAGAATTAACATTCCATAGAAACTTTAAATAGGAAATCCTTGAAAATGACAAGGTTCTCTATTTCACTGAAGCAGACGTTAAATGAGTGATACTATTATAACCACCTCTATTTCTTTCTTCTTATGATGTATACTTTATTTGGAAAACAGCAGAAGAGAAACAGAAGAGCCGAAAAGAACCCAAAATAAAAGTCAGAGCTTTCCATTCCCTGAACCCTCCCATAGCCAAAAGCGCTCGGACATACACAACATTCGGAATGTATATATATATATATATATATATATATATAAGCTGAAATTCACATGATATAAGCCTGTCCTGAAAGACTTATCAACAACGGTTTGTTAATATCAATTTCATTGTGGAAAACATTGAATTGAAAATCTCAATGGGTGAAAGTATTGATTTTTTTTTATTCATGGCGATAGTCTGTAGATAAGTGGCGTAAGTAGCTGATGCCCTTCTCCTCAGTGTCGTTGAATAGAAGACGATGAACATCGACTAATGTCTACAGTTTTGTTTCTTAAAGAAATCAGTCAGTAATTCTAAAAGAAAAGTAACTTTCAATAAAATCTGTACAATGAAAGTTACTGTAATATCCTCGGGCATACTTGCACACACAACACGCAAACATTATACATACATACATATATATATATATATATATATATATATATATATATATATATATATATATATATATAATTCTTAGTATATTATATACAAATATAAGTTACTCCGCAAAGGTTTTGTGAAGTTGAACAGTACATCTGAAACGAATGTAGTACTGACTGTTATTGAAACCCTCTATGAGCGGTTCAATTTGGGAATCAGCGTGCATATAGCCCAAATGGACTAGATTTAAGAACCAAATTTTTTAATTTTCAAATTTTGTTAAGTACTGGGCACTACACTTATATATATATATATATATATATATATATATATATATATGAAAAAATATAGTTTTATGGTGTGATATATTTATGGTATAAAGTGCTCAATATCAGAGATAGAGCGTATGTAAATCTAAATATAAAAGTGAACATTGAAGTCAACACTTAGAGGCGACAGGCTGTTTCATGATGGCCACAACCGTCAGACGGCCTGACAATTGCGTCCAGCAGGAAGCAGACCGTCGCCTCTGAGCGTTGACTTCAATGTTCACTTATATATATATATATATATATTAAATAAAAACAGACCACTTTAAAGTTCCATGTAATAAATTATTTCACTACATCCCTTTTAAAAGGACTGCGGATCATCAGACTTTACTTCCAAACAAAAAATGAAAATTTACACATTTTTGACGGGCCGTATTAAACATATGTAAATTAACGAAGTGAGGAAGTGAGGGGGAGAGAGAAGACACGAGTGAGTTAGCAGATATTGACACATTTAAACGGTTAACTTAACGGAAGTTATATATTGATATCGAAGAGGTAGAGATGAAAACCCATAGAGAGAAAAAGAAGAAGGATGTTATGAGAGAAGTTGTCACTAATTAGTGACAACTTCTCTCATAACGTCCTTCTTAACAGCTGTTGCTACTCGAGTTACGTTTCATTCAATGGCCATCGGGCTGGGATCAATCTGTAGTATCTGTTCTCTTCATCTCTAATGATAATTTATGGAAACATTTGGCCTAGATTGACCGAGTAATTACCCTTTTCCTCACTCTCTGGGCATTGGAACTCAAATTGCATTTTCCTCGTATCTAAGGGTAATTATTATTTTAGTCGTTTTCTTATAAGGAAACTTTCGCCATTTATTGACTGTCAGTGCTATTATCGGTTGAAGTTTATAAACTCTTTCTCTTAAAACAATTTTTTATAATTTCCACTGTTATCACTATTTCTAGTATTGGTTGCGGTTTTCTTCCTACCCTTTTGTTAGAAGTACTGTGGAATATCAACGTCTTCATTATGCCATTATTTTCTCTTCGACTGACTACCTATTTTAGTTAATGCTGTTGTTGAAAGTACTCAAGGGATGTAGTTTCTGTTAATAGGGTAGACCGGTCCAAGACGTTCGAAGAAGGAGGATCCTTTTCGGAAAGAAAAGAGTATTCGTTTATCCCCCCACCCCCATATTTTCATTTTCAACATAAAAAAAACGTATTAATAATTCACAAACACACATAATCGTATAAAAAGATGCGTTGAAATATAACCATTCAAAATATGTATCATTTTTATTAAATTTCAGTCACATGAGAAACAAAATCCCTTGTTCTAACGCTACAAACATTTTTCCAGACCTATATATTGATGATATCTATCTATCTATCTATCTATCTATCTATCTATCTATCTATCTCATTCTATTCCCACCTATCTCTTTCTCATTATCTATCTATCTATCTATCTATCTATCTATCTATCTATCTATCTATCTCATTCTATCTATCTATCTATCTATCTATCTATCTATCTCAATCTATTTCTCATTTATCCCTCTATCTATCTCATCTCATATCTATCTATCTATCTATCTATCTCAATCTATTCTCATTTATCCCTCTCTCTCTCATTCTATTTCTATCTATCTATCTATCTATCTATCTATCTATCTATCTATCTATCTATCTATCTATCTATCTATCTCATTCTATTCCCACCTATCTCTTTCTCATTATCTATCTATCTATCTATCTATCTATCTATCTATCTATCTATCTCATTCTATTTCTATCTATCTATCTAGCTCAATATATTCTCATTTATCTCTCTATCTCTCTCATTCTATTTCTATCTATCTATCTATCTATCTCATTCTATTCCCACCTATCTCTTTCTCATTGTCTATCTATCTATCTATCTATCTATCTATCTATCTATCTATCTTATTCTATTTCTATCTATCTATCTATCTATCTATCTATCTATCTATCTATCTATCTATCTATCTCATTCTATTTCTATCTATCTATCTATCTATCTATCTATCTATCTATCTATCTATCTAGCTCAATATATTCTCATTTATCCCTCTATCTCTCTCATTCTATCTATCTATCTATCTATCTATCTATCTATCTATCTATCTATCTATCTATCTATCTATCTCTATTCTCCCCCACCTATCTCTTTCTCATTATCTATCTATCTATCTATCTATCTCAATATATTCTCATTTATCTCTCTATCTCTCTCATTCTATCTATCTATCTATCTATCTATCTATCTATCTATCTATCTATCTATCTATCTATCATTTTTTAAAGAACACATGAATAAGCAATGGGTTAAATGGACGAAAGAAGAAATTTGACAAATTTGAGCAAATGGATGGGAGAACAAATGCCACAATAAGAAAGGGGTATAATAAAGGAGAAATTACTGCTGTGGACTACGAGAAAGAGGATACTGTGGAGAACCACGTTCTCCCACGTACATCTTGAAGAAATGCAGCTAAAAGAGAGACGAGAGAGAGAGAGAGTGGGAAATGAGGAGAGGAAAAAGATGGAGAGTGGGGTCTAATTGATATTACCGAGAAAAAGCAATCTCTAAACGCATTGTAAATTTTGGTTTTGTTTCTGATGTTTTGTTTTGTCTTGTTATCCCAATAAGAGAAACGTCAACGTCATTTCACTGAGGTCGGCAAAACTTAAAACTCTTTGTCGAAGACGTAAACTTGAAACGAAAACGGTTTTATTGACAGTATTGTCTTTTGGGCGATTTGTTCGAGTCAATCAACGATTCGTGAAATGGCTTGTCAGTAAGAAACAGATAAAGACGCTGCAACGACAATGACAACAACAAATAAACAAAATATGACACTTGCGTAAATGTCTTCTGTTAAGCCTCTTTTGATTTTACAAATAATCACTGTTCATTGAAACATTGAAGTGGACAGGCGAGTGAGTTAGAGAGGGCGGGGAGAAGAGAGAAGAAAAGGAGAAGAAAAGGAGAACGAACGATGGAGAAAGAAAAAGATAGTGTCTGTGAATAATAGTGAGCGAGAGGGTGTGAAATAAAAAAGAAAAAGAATAGAGTGAAGAAGGAGAAGTTAGAAGAAGAGGATGAGAAATAGAAAGAGAGAGTAAAGGCGACGGAGGACGAAAAGGCGGGGCGGGAGAATATGGAAGAGAAGAGGGTGAATGAATGTGAATGAGAGTAAAATAAACAATATGAGTGGAAAGAAACAGAAAGAGTGATTGGGAAAAGAGAGTCAGGAGAAGAAGACGAGAAGGAGAGACAAAGAGAAAGGGAGAAAAGGGGAGGAGGAAGAGGGAGGAAACGAGAATGAAAGAAAATATGATAAAGAGAGACAGTGAGGGAGAAAGAAAAGAAAAGTAAGAGAGAGGAAAAGAAAAAAGAAGGATGGTAAACCTGAACAGTGTGTATGAGGAAGAAAAAGAAAAAAATGATAGCAAACAGATACGAGAGAGAGAGAGAGAGAGAGAGAGAGAGAGAGAGAGAGAGAGAGAGAGAGAGAGGAGTGAAATAAAATGAGGGAGAAAGAGAGGAAAATGATTGAGAGAGTTGAATACAGAAGTGGAGAAGAGGAACAAAGGGAATGATGTCTTGTCTGGGAAAATCACTGAAAAAAATTATAAAACGAACTTAGATTTCAATTCTGGTACATCGTCGGAAAGAACGTTTGATGAAACAGGAGAATACAAATAATTAGGATTTTAATGAATAGATGTCACAGCAAAGTTAACCCGGAATTAAGGCAAGAATAATGTATTTTGTTCAAGATCTTCCTTTATCCCTTCAGGACGTAGGCGATCATAGCCCTTCACATCTTTCTGTCCAGTGTAGCTCTTAATTTTTTTCTTTTTATTATTTCACCCAAACCCTGTTCTGTCATCTATTTTCTCAAGCTGATCAAGTATGTTTCGTGCTGCTTTCCTCTGTGCCTCTTTCTCTCAATCTATCCTGTGGGTATCAGATTTTCCAAGCCCTCCTTCCTCATTACGTGCCCTAGAACTTGTCTGACGTTATGTATGAGTTTCCTTTTTGTTTCCATTCTCTCCAAAACATCGTCGTTGTTCACATGTTTGGTCCATGGTATCCTCAGCATCTTTCTGTAGAACCACATTTCTGTTGCTTCAAATCTCTTCTTCAGCATTGAGGAGATTGTCCATCATTCGCTGCCATACAGAAGGACAGATATCACATAACACTTCAATACTCTTTTCTTTGTCTCTAACAATTTTTTTATGTCTCTTAATACTCTGCTTAGCTTTTGAAATGCATCTTTGGTTATCCTAATACGTCTTCGGATCTCAGTGTCGCATTTTCCGTTATCGTTTAAGACACTTCTCAGATATTTAAATTTCTGTTAGATTTGAGTATTTTTGAGTTGTAATTGGCATTTTGGGCTATTAAACTCAGTAATATAAGTCCATATATATATATATATATATATATATATATATATATATATATATATATATCCTGGGTATGACGATAAACTAAATCCCTCAGCAAGTCTTCTCATCGGGAGATTGGAGAATTTGAGGTGCGTGAACCACATTTTAATTGCTGTTGTTCCCAGGTTCTCCATGACCCGGGGTGGTAGCACCTCTTTAGGGTCTCAGCTATGGGCAAATATGTCTACCAGGGCTGACCAAGCTCTTTAGTGTAATAGAACACGACTGCTCCAGGAGATGGAATTCTGTGGTGATAAAGAAAAACCATCAGTCGACAAATTTCCAGAGAGACCATTGAAAGTAGAAAACAAACCCCTGATCTATGTAAAGTATTTCACCTATCTTGGTAGCAAAGTCAACTACAGTGGAACTTTAGATGATGAAATCATGCATCGGATTGGTAAGGCTACCAGTGCTTTCGGCAAACTTCGCTATCGCTTGTGGAACGAGCGGGGTATTTGACTGAATACGAAAATTCAGGTTTACAGAGCTGTTGTACTTGCCATCCTTTCGTACGTTTCACTATAGGTTTCAGTTTTTTAATATAGATAGCTTCAAGAATTTTTAGTTTATGTTTATTATTTTTGTGAAAAAGTATAGAGGTATTTTCAACAAGGATTTTTCTGAATTACGAATGTGGACAGATATATTGTTGTAAATATTGAGAAATGTTAGATATATTATTCAAATGAAATCTTTAAATGTGTATAATAAAACTTTTAAATGTGTATAATAAATAGTTTGAAATGCCAAGGTTTGCACTAATAGTTTCTCTTTTTACTACTCATTTCGTAAAAAAAAAAACCCTCTTCAAACCATACTTAGTTACTTCCCTTTAAACGGTCTCAGCGGTCACGTAATGACGCAGCGTTCCTCACTCCATTTGTAAGAAATTTAACTTTCAGATAAATAATGAATGATACAATATATTAATTACTGATGATGACATGGATATGTCGAAAGTATTGGAAATAAAAGAATTATGTATCAACACAGCGATTTTCTTTCGTCCTTCAGTAAAAATCATATCCGCGAATATGAAAGGATCTTATTGAAAATAAATTACCTTAATATATATATATATATATATATATATATATATAAATTCATGAAACATTCATACAAAAAAAATATAGAGGTTAATGATTTAAATGGCGAGAATACATCTTCGCAAACAATATAAATGAGATACATCAACCCCAAACCTGTATATGAATGATAAGATTCCATGTTTATAAATTCCAGTTGCATAAGGTCTTTTAATTTTTACAAGCTTTCGTCTGTTCCTACAGACATCCTCAGGTATGCAAATAGATTTGTTCTTGTTTTTACTTTTCGGTAATAAGAGGACAACGAAAATAGAGATGTAGACCGAAAAAATGCTATGAGAAATGTGTTATATATATATTTGTTTTTGTATGAATGATTCATGAATTTATAAAATATAATTTGCACCTTTAATTGAAGTATATATATATATATATATATATATATATATATATATATATATATATATATATATAAGAGAACATGGACGTCAACACTCAGAGGCCACAGGCTGTTTTATTCTAGACGCAATCGTCAGGCCACGTGTGTTGTGTTTCTTCTCGACTATTTATATATACGGGTCAATGGTGCATTGAGGGTAGCCCATTCTGACGGTTATTTTGGTGGGAGTGGTTTGTTTATTTATTTATTTGGGTTAATTTATTTTACTTGTTTTTATTTATTTTATTTTTATTTTATATATTTATTTATTCTTTTCGGTTTCGATGGTTGAGTAACGTAGTAAAAAAAATTGATATTAGTTCAGATCGTTTATTTGATAGTTTATTTAGTCTGGGAAGGTAATTAAAATTATTTTTTCGTCCAATTTTTGGATTGATTGCTGTAGTCTATTCCAACTGTTATTTTGACTCGATTTTTAATTTCTTTATTATTTTCTTTATTTATTTGAATTGATTATTATACTTGTTTTTCCTTATTTATTTTTTAATTTTTATTTATTATAACGGTTATTTTAGCGGGAGCGGTTTCTTAATTTGTTTATTTATTTATTTACTTATTTAGATTAATTTATTTTGCTTCCTTTTTCTTATTATTTATTTTTTATTTTGTATATTTTTATTTATTCTTTTCGTTTTTCGATTAAGTAACGTAGTAAAAAAGAATTGACACTTTATATAGCAGCAATAGCTATTTTTCGTCAAAATTTTGGATTGATTGTTTTAGTTTATTCTAACGGTTATTTTGATGGGATTGGTTTGTTAATTTGTTTATTATTTACTTACTTTATTTATTTGAATCGATTATTTTTACTTGTTTTTTCTTATTTATTTTTCTTTTTATTTATTTTTGTCATCTATTCTAACGGGAGTGGTTTGTTAATTTGTTTATTATTTGATTGGGTTAATTTATTTTACTTGTTTTTTTATTATTACTTTTATTTATTATTTTCAGTTTTCGATTTTTAAATCATGTAGTAAAAACTTGTTCTCGTGTCTGCATTTTGAGACGAATTTAGATCGTTTATTTAGTAGTTTATTTTGGTCTGAGGAGGTAATGATAACTATTTTTCCTCCAAGCAAAGTTTGCAGGTTTTGGATTGATTGCTGTAGGTTAATGATCTTTTCCTTATTTTCCATATTTTTGGTGTGATTTGCGTTTTGTTTTTGATTTCCCAGATATACCTAGAAAACGTGCTGTTCGCGTATTTACTATTTGTGAAAGATGCTTTGTATGCATAGTTTCTTTGTTTCCAGGGTCCTTCAGTTACACCTATGTATATTTTTCTTCATTATCTAGTGATCTTACCGTGGTTTGGTATATTACGTTGTTTTGTAAGAATAACTTTTTAAGGGGCATTCATTCTTTATTCTGCAGTTACACGTGGGTTTAATTTGTTCGGATGGTTTGTTGATAGTTTTCCTGTTGTGCTTTGTTAGTATTTGTACCATGTTCTCTGTGCAACTGTAGCTGATTTTTACTGTGTTTTTGTTGGATATTTTGTGGAGAGTGCTTTATTCAGGGAAGTGTTTGTGTAAGAGTTTAAAGAATATTTTTCCTCCTTTTGTTTTTACCTTTTTTGATGTACGGTGGGTTGAACGATATGATATTTCTCTTCCTGTTGATCTGGCGTGCTATACTATTTAGCTACAGAGAAGCGTCTGATTAGCAAAGTCCAAATTACTGTCTATGTTTATTTCTCGCACATTTATTTGTTTTATTTATATCTTTATAAATTTGGTGTTGCCAAATTTTAAAACATGTCCAATGAAACTAGAGAGTCTTTTTTTATTATATATATATATTTACATATACGTGACACATACACCCACCCACCCAGAACATACTTATATTAGAGCCATTTTTATATATTTTTATATATAATGTGCTTATGCAGGTGTGTGTCTATATATGTATGCACAAATGTATATGAGTGGGTATGTATATCAAATAAAAGAACAAGCTTGTTTCTCACCATCAGCAGACCCTGTATTTTTTCCAGTCATGATGAATTCTTACACTGTCAATGCAGCTCCTTGTAAAATAAGTGGCCATAGCTAAAATGCAATTGGCAGAAATTCTTAACAAACAGAATTGACAAAGTTTGCAAGAAACAATAACAAAAGAAAGAAAACAATATATGCAAGACAAAAGTAAGTCTATCAAGAGTAATGACACAACAGGATTAGTAATAAGTAAGATTTGTGTTTACACGCAAAAGGAACACAGACAAGTGTTCGCAGCGTTCAGACTTCAAGACAAAAATAACAAATATGGCGGATGAGACCTATATGCGGTTTAACTTATTGTCTAGGAAGAAATTCCAGCAGGAATCTGTACGATTTATCCCTAAATTTGGAGAGGGCGGTGATTTTGCATTAATTAGAAACCAACAGACAGTTATGTGCCATGCGTTATACACCCATAGGCAATCATGTATCTTTCGATACTTGACTCACGAAGCAGATTTTTTCTCACAGTAGGTTGCCATTTCTTTCTGCGGTAAACCAGCTGCCATCCAATGCTATATAACTTAGTCTCTTCTGCTATTTAATCATAGCTGGGAGAGACGAAGAGGATTCATACTTTTCCCAAGGATATTAGCACCTAAGTGAATATAACTGATTTGACTGGAATTCGAACTCGGCTCTCCGACTAAACCAAAACCGCTACCGAAATCAACCGACACCTTTAGCTATGCTTTATCTTTACAAGAATCCTATTAAAAAAGAAATGGGGCATTGATACCATATCTCGACTGGAGCTGTCCTAGTCCTTCACTTGCAGCTTTGATGAATGCTCACTGGGGGTTACTTACTTTTGGCCTTGTGCCACATCTAAGCTACGTTTATAAAATCAACATATGGAAGTCTAGATTCCTTTAAATTCCAGTCTAAAAGAAATCCTATCTTCAATTATTTATTTGGCCTTGTTTCTAATTAGTGTCCCGCTTCCATCAAGAGCTGAACCTAGTAAATCAATTCCCTTCTTTTCTTTTCGCAAAAAAAAGTAACCTTTTTCGATTCCCTAGTTGCCACCTACTCATTTCTCTGTTTTATCTTTAAATTATTCTCCTGTCTTTGAAGTCATTTCCTTTGCATATTGAACTTAATCATTCTTTTTTTTTTTTTACTTTCCTCTTTTCTTGTCTCCCTCCCCTCCTCTCACACTTCCTATTTCTTTTTTTTATTTCCTCCACCAAATAAGGAAACATTCCTCTTCGTTATTCTAATGTATCATTCTTGGATTCTAAAATAGGATGAGCAATGAAAAACAGTCATCAAAGGCTAACCACGAAGTTGTATCAATAGCATTGACGTCACACACTCCCAGAATAATTGATACAATCGTACAGTGAGGTCAAACACTTGCACGCCAGTTCGCCAAAGTGAAACTCTTTCCGGAAATTTCCACATTCCCTACGTGGGATCAGTTAACCTTACTCGCTGAAATCGTCGCCGGGTGGGCATCACTTGTGTAACAACAATTTCTTCTGAGAGGTAAACAACACTTGCAAAATAATAATACCTTACTATAAGGAATACAAGTAACAAAGTTACCAGCTAAGTTCCAGACTCAATAAGTTTTTATTTGATAATCAACCATCCAAAGAAGAAAATACTCTATTCACTGTGTACATTAAAAACAATATCTGTTAGCAAAAGCAACATGAGATATGAATTTAAAATCCTCTTCCAATATTTGAACCTCAAAAAAGATTTGACTTGATATTACATCATCATCATCCCCATCCTTTTGACTTTTGGAATTGTAGAAGGGATCCGAATGCAGAAATCATACAATATCTTCCACAACGGTCTATCAGCCCTCAGCAATTCCGGTATAGTCATACCTGTCCTTTGTTTGACATTGTCCAAATTTTTTTTTGCGTTGGAATCCTCTCCTACATCCACATCCAACGGCGCCTTGCATGATGGTCTTGCACAGGCTGTCCTGCCTTATAACGTGTCCAAACCACGCCATTTTCTCCGTTTGACAATGACGAGAAGAGGTTCCTGGTGGCCCGTAAATCTTTCAACCCTTTTCCGCACAAACTCATTGGTTTTATGTTCCCAATAGAAGAAGCCAAGGAGTTTTCTCATACATTCTTCTCAAACTCTTGGACCTTCTCTCTGCTTATGACAACAGTGTCTATGATACACATACATATAATAGAATGGCGATTACCATCGATTTGTACAATCTATATATCGTTTGAATGCTGATTTTACTCCTACATGTTCTTACCAATTTGGCCATGGCTGCCATGGCCGCGACAATTCGTGTGCGGATTTCCAAGTTGAAGGTACCATTTTTAGACAAGATTGCACCTAAATATTTAAAACTGGACACTTCCTTCAGTGAATTCCCGTTCATGGTAATTTTGACACAGGTATTACTGTTTAAGCTAATGACCATTACTTTGGATTGCTCGGAGCTGACCTCCATTCTTTATGCTCCTGCTCTTTCAAAAAGTTTGTTGGTCAAGTCCTGGAGAGCACTGTTACTACCTGCTATGAGCTCAATATCGTCTACAAAACGTTGACCGATAGAGATTGACGGATCGTTGTCGATCAAGGTTTCTTGTATGATTATCTCTAGAAATCGGTTGAACAATGTGGGTAAAATATATATATATATATATATATATATATATATATATATATATATATATATAGTCAAACCTAGAGAACCAGACAAACCTACCAAGGTTTCACTTAACGGATCGTCAGGGAAAGCTGGCTATGTTTGTCTGGCTCTCTAGGTTTGAGTAGGTCTGCTCTACTTTTGTATTGAGCACTTTTAAGTTAGTTGATTACTCGTATCGAGTTTTTTTCTTTGGGCTTTGGACCTTTATGCTGTGCGATTATTTTCGACAGACGTCCATGTTCATAGCTCTTTCTTTTTTTAAAACCTTTTTTTCCTTCGAGATTGATTTGACTATTAGCAAATCAAGAAATCGAAAGTTTTCGAGACGAGTGTAGTTACCTATATATATATATATATATATATATATATATATATATATATATATATATATATATATATATATATATAGAGAGAGAGAGAGAGATGAGATAAGGATATATATCTTTATATATCAAGAACAGTACTGAAATTGTAAGACAACAGGTTTACTTGTGACTCGCTTCATCCGTTAGAACTTCATCTGACTCGGTTTGCTGACGTTCTTGTGATTACATATGCACATGAACGAGAGACGCTGGTAGTTTCAAAACCTTTGAAATATTTTTTGCAATATACCTAAATTCATATATATTCTTTTCTTTTCGTTATCTTTGATTTTAAATACCATATATTGTCATAACAGAAATTCTGCCAAGAATGAGAAATTTCCTGTGGCTAAACCAGCGATTAAAGCACTTTCTAGACACATTCGTCTTAGTAAATTATTTTCTCTTTTAATTAGAGTAGCATTTTTTATATCAAAATTTTAGTCAGTTTCGTTACGGTGAACAACCAGTGGGTTTTTTGTGCTGTTATTTTTTATGCCTCTTTGGTGTTCATATAGACTTTGGACAAATATTCGGAGGACGAAATGTTGTTTAATACTGTTTATTATAAACAGAGCATTTACTTAAATATTTGTATCTATAAAAAAGAATGTATAAACATAAAAATGTCTTAGTATATATATATATATATATATATATATATATATATATATATATATATATATATGTATGTATGTATGTATGTATGTATATATATATATATGTATATGGGTAAATCAAAATCCTTGTGCGATGTTGAATGGAGTCATAACATCGCCATCATTAATGATCATTCCAAACACCTTCGTAATCACGAAGAGGGTTTTTGTCGAGAGTCAAATGTATTGCTGTTAATATTTTTTTCATAAATGTATTGATGGTAATATTTTTTTCATAAATATATTGCTGGTAATATTTTTAAAATGTATTGCCGGTAATTTAAAAAAAAAAAAACGGACCGTAAAAATGTATTTTTATAGTGTTTTGAAACCAGTTCGGGGGTTAAATATTTGCCCACAGCTGGGACCCTAAAGTTGCTAGGACCCCGGGTCTGTGTTGGTCTGGGAACAACAGCAATTAAGAGGTAGTTCCAAACTTCTCAAAACCTCCTGATCTGAAGCTTTGCTACTGGATGTAATTTATCGTCATTCCCAGGACGGAAAAAGAGAGAAAATATTCAGAATGTTACGAACATTTGCGAAAGACTCAAACATGTAAATATCACCAAAAGGAGAGTACATCCTATTTAAAGGAGAGTCATTCTTTGTGGTGAAAGTAGAGCTACATTAGACTCGCTTACTTTCTGGGCTAAACATTGAATCCTCTATTAAAATAATCAACTAACGTCACATTAACATAAAGTAGTATTTTAGACAGTTAAAAGTTGGTAATGAATACAACTTTTTGGACAAAACGGTTTTTGAGTAGAACGTTTTTTTTTAGGAGTACAGGTCACAAGTAGCTTTAAACTAAATATTATATTAATGCAAAACAATGTTCCTTCATATTCTGCAAAGCTAACAGTTGTCCTTTTTTGAAGGAAAAGTTTCAAGTTAATGGAATGACTTCCATCCATTCAGTTATTAATCTATCAGAACACTCGTGGTCTATCATTAAAAGAGATGCATTGAGTTGTCAGAGAAATTCTTTTTTTTTTTTTATTTTCCCATTTATTTTAATCCTATTATTCACCCCACAATTTTAAGAAATCAATCAATAATACAAAACGATGAACAGAGGTTGTAGAGGAAGAACAGAACCACAAAAAACCGTAAACTACTAGGCCAAAAAATATTTTGCGTGTTAATACAAATAACATTGGAATAAACGAACGAATTTATCTGACAACCCATTATGACTGAATAGAAAGCAATATTCACGCAAGCAAGATCTCATGGGAACAATAAAACGTGCTACTGGTAATGATAAAACAGTAGGAAAGATATCAAAATCAATAGTGAAAAAAACTGATGAAGGATATAGAATATCAAAAAGCTCAAATAAAATTCTTAAATAAAGAAATATAAATCTATTCAAGTATATGAAATATTGCGTTATTCAAATATATATTTCCGCGATCTATTTCGTTTGGATTTAAAAATCTAGAAAAAGGATGAAAATGAAATTCACAATTCAAATTACACTCTATAGAATGGAAATATCTTCTGACGTATTGATCTTGTTATTTTACGAATAAATTAATCAAGAACACGCAGAGAATATAAATGAAGAGGAGACACTTTTTATGGTGACAAGTTAAAGATAGTTTAAAATCCAAGTATGAGACATCTCATGGATTGAATACTAAGCAGTAATTGATTTCGACTGAATTTAACTTAGTCTGTCACAAGGTCTGAAGTGCTGAGTACACGCTGAAGCTTTTACTTCAAGAAATAGTGATCTTTAAGATTAGGATGTGCGTTGTGATGTAATGGATATCGGCTGGGAATGAGAAATCGGAGAGCCGAGTTCGAATTCCAATCGCGTTCATTACGCGTAAATACCCTTCTTCTCTCAATTATGGGGTTGAATATCAGTACTGGGTACTATAGCCTTGGTTGGTATCCAGTCTACCATAAAAGAAACGGCGACGTGCTACGGTAAAATCTTTTGTCAGTCATGAATAGAAAGAGACATGGTCACCCAAGCGTGTATCACGTACGACATGTAACTGACTGAAGATTAGTTCATGACCCTTTGCCCTGTAGAGGTGCGTAGTAAGATTTGTCTCCCTTTGGTTTCGACGATATCAAAAGCCTCACGTGACTGTCGGTGAGTGACGTCAGTTCATTATTGTGTCGTGGGTCGGTGACCTTTCATTCCGTCCTGAAGCACGACGTGTCTACTCAGGACAGTAGCTAGTTTTTATGCCTGAAGGCAATACGTATCGGCCCACGCCCGTTGCTATGGAGGTCGTGGTGAAGACGGACGTCACAAGCCCACAGCGGTAGAGCATACAGAGAAAACCGCATAGTCGCACCAAAAACATGCAGGAAACCACAAACCCACTCTTTTTCCCGTGGAAAATATTAAGTAAGACTTTCTATCTTTATGTACCTTTCACTGTGGTTATTGTATACATATGTTATAGTTTCTCAGTGTGGGACAAATTTGTGATAAATCGGTAATATATATATATATATATATATATTTAATTAATTCATTGAGTCTGATAGAAACCTCAACAGGAATAGAGGAAGCACTGGACGGCCGTTTCGTCCTATAATTGGGACTCATCAGCAGTGCGCATCCACCACCGAGTATCGAAACCCTGACAGTTGGGTTATATATATATATGTATGTATTTATATCGGTAAAAAAATCTCTTTGAAAACAATTTATGTTTTCGAACTTTTCTTTCAGAGCTTAAGGCACATCACCTTGAAACATCAGTTCTCGTA